ATGGAGCAAAACTGTACGATAATCAAGAAGTCAAGAGCATCGACAAGTACCAAGGCAAACAATTCAAACTGATAACAACGAAATACACTGTGATTGCGAACAAACTGGTTCTTGCCATTCCTGTCAGTCCCATGAAACGATTACAGGGCTCAGTGATTGAAAGGATTAAAAGGGATGCTATATTTGATTCAATTGGATTCGGGGTGGCGTTTAAAGGCTTTGCAGTGTTCAAGGACGCCTGGTGGCAAAGAAACAGTACTGGACGACGTTACCTAGCGGATGAACAAGAAATGTTGTCAAACAGTGATTGTTTGGGAAGAACATTTCCTTTCAAGTAAGTACCCGCTAGCATTGCCGAACCGTAAGTGATTTAGACGAAGGTTTAGAAGAAGGCAGCATGGTCGAGTGGTCAGCGTGTCGGACTTGCAATCCGCCGCTCCCGGGTTCAAGTTCCGCCCTGGCCACTACTTGGATTTGTTTCACGGTAGCCCCGAGTTTCAGATCCTCGGCCATACTTGTAATGTAATATAGCCAACTGGTTTGCCTTCGGCCAGTTGGGATTCTTAACGACGTTATTTTCAATTTGAATTATTTGTTTAAGTTGTTTCGTGGAAAACCTGTAAACTAGCTTCTAGCTAAGTGTTTCTCCACGTTAAACTGTTTATTATTATTTATTATTATTATTATTTATTAGACTTCGAAAAAGTTGTGTTTGATGGGTTATTATAAAATCATGTAAATTCAGCCATCTCCGCTGATTTTCGTAATTCATGGTTGGAAATGTCGCTCTTGGGCAGGATCAAACCAACATTTATTCAAAACTTCCAGTTTCTGACATCACAGAAACAGCACTGAATTCCAACTTAGTTTTGTTCATCCGTCATTTGAAACAACTTTAAACAGCTTTGTAATTTTATAGTGAACAGTAACGAATCACCTTCTTTAGATCACGCGGTTCCAATGGCGAGGCGGTGCTTCAAATGAGTTACGCCAAGCTTCGCTGTGCTGTAAAATGGGGAGAGTTATTAAAGAGTTCGTCTAAGGATTATGTGGACAAAGAGATGCACAGGGCACTTAGACGACTCTTCCCTGGTGTAGACATTCCAACTCCTCTGGAATCGGTGTACAAATATTGGGAAGAAGGATTTATGTAAGTACCGTATAACTGTAAATTGAGTTGATATGTGCATATCGCTCTAAACTGAGAGCATAAGTAACCGACAGTTATATTTACTAGCAATGATTCTGAAGAAAGACAACATTCATGTATTCGTGAAGTGGTAAAACATTGGTTACATCGTTGACTTCAGAAGCAGAGGTGCAAAGTAGGTCCTTATTCTAAACCACCCTTACATAAAGAGACAGGAACCTTTCTTTTGACCCTGAATAAGTGGGATTTAAAATTAACAAAGTCCCAAAAGTTTCCTGCTCGACCCTTGTGTTTATTGCAACGTAAAAAGGACTTCTCTAGATCAGCTGATGATGAATAAATACAATACAATACAATACAAACTTTATTGACACTCCCTTATGAGGATTTTTCGGTGACAATGATCTAAAATCACAAAATTACAATACTAAATTGTTTAATAGGAAAATTAAGCTAATATGTTAATAAATGTTCGCCAAAATTACAACTAAGAGCGATGAGAAAGGAAAGCAGCAAGTAATTTGGCTCTAAGTTTACGCTTAAAATCACAAGAAGAATTGAAGAGTTTGAGGGTATTATCTAAACTGTTCTATAGACTTACTGAACGTTAAAAGACAGTCCTATGTCCAGATTTAGTTCTATATAAGGGTATATGCAGAAGTTGGCAGCTTCTGGTCGAGCGACCACTTGTCTCACCACTTGTTAGAAACTTCGAGGAGAGATAATTTGATTAAGCGCAGCCCTTTCGCATACTTTCGAAAGAATGGGCAGCAGAGAAATAGGCCTATTATTGTTAGGTTCTTCGTGATTACCTTCTCTCGGAATAGGCGACACGACAGCTAATTTCCAAGATCGAGGATATTTTCCACGAGAGAAAGAGGCGTTAATTAACGATGTAATCACCGAGAGAATAGCAGGGAGGCTATCTTTGATTACACGCACAGGAATGCTGTCTATCCCAGAGGACTTATTAGCTGGCATTGACCTGACAATCTGAGCAACTTCGTCACAATCTACGTGCTTAAAATTGAATTGATCAGTCACAGGAGAAATTCCTGGATCAAGCGCAGGTGCAGAAAGGTCGAAATTGCATTCATTAGCAAGGGAACTAATCTTGTCATCAGCAACTCGGCCAACAGACGTAAAGAACCGATTAAAATCATTTGCAACGGTCCTGTTATCTTTGCTAAATGATCCCTCACTGGCAGACTTCCTTGGAATAAACGATCGAATAATCTTCCACAACTGGCTTGAATTATTAGGGTTGCTCGTAATCTGGTCCGCGCGTAAACGCGCTCAGCTGATCTTATTTCTCTCTTAATATCATTCCTGAGGTTTCTATAAGCAGCCCACGCATCGGGATTATTTGTTCTTCTTGCTATCTTTCGCCACCGGTCCCCAGATTTCATGAGCTCTCTGATCTCATCAGTTATGTAAGGAATGGGTCTGCCTCGAATCTTAACTTTTTTGATTGGTGCATGTTTGTCTAGGACTTCATTTGAATAGTGTGTTGAAAGCGTAGAGGCTATCGTCAATATCATCAAAGCAATCGACGATGCACCAACCT